TTGGATACTGGTAAAGTCTCTTCTGGGGAAATGGGTTCTGCAAAAAGTTCACTTTCTGATCCAAGATATACTGATTGATTTTTATCCAAGGGATCCAAATTCTGGCTATTTTCCAGGAGCTGAGGGGGAAATTCCAAGTTTACAGGTGCTACTGGTGAGCAATTTTCCTCAAGCATGGCACATGGTAAGGATATTTCTGAGGGAATTTTTGCTGAAATGACTTCTGTTTCTGATCCAAATTGTTTTGTCTCTGTGTTGTCCAAGGGTTCCAAGGTTTCCAGGGATTGGCCATTTTCCAAGTTCAGGGGGCAGGGATCCAAATTAGAAGAAAGTATTGGGGGGAAATTTTCTGTGAGTGGTAACTGGATTTCTGAGTTAAAACATTCCATGGGCCTTTGAGAGAATTGATTCTGATTGTTTTGTCCAATTTCTTGTGCAGATTGATCACAATCTTCCTGTATTTTGTCCAGTTTGTTGAACTCCCTGTCAATATACTCCAGAATAACACCATAGGATGGTGCCTCTGCAATATGAAAATTTGCTCCCAAAATCAAGTGACCATCCCAGATAAGTGGATCAGATATTAACATTTCCAACTTTGGGCTGAGGGATCCCCAAAGGTAGTTTGAAAATTCATCCATGTGGAAATTGTGACCATTTCTGATGAGGTAGTGAGTGATTGCTTCAAATTGGATTCTGAATAGCTGGAGGTGTTCTAGATTTTTTATTCCTCCCATGCCTATAGTGGAGCTGACCAAACATTGCAAATCCTTTCTAGCATATTCCTCCTTGGTGAAATGCATTCCATCTTTGGGTCTGTAGATAATGCTCAATTTTTCTGCTCTTTCCAGAAAGTGGATGGGGGTTGATTTCTTGGGTTCCAGAGGGTGAGTTGGCTGAGTTGGAGTATTCTTTTCTGGCCCTGGTGGTCCTGTATGCTGACTTTCTGTCCTGTGGTGGTAAAGGGGTTCCTGAATTTCCAAAGGTTCCAGGTTGTCACTTTCTGAAGGTTGGGGATGTCTCATTGGTCCAGGGTTAAAGGCTGGAGTATGGGCAGGAGGAGGTTGGTAGAATGTGGTTCCAGGGTTATAGTACTGGTGAGGGGGTAGTTGAGGGGGTAAGACTTGTCCTCTCCAAGCTGGGATGTCCAAATTGGCCATGTTGATCCTAGGGGTAGGTCCAGACAGGGAGTTTCTTCTTGGTGGAAAATTCATGATAATGGAGAAGTTGTTGAGATTTCTACTGTTATAATATTGTTGCTGTTGATCCAATGATGTTTTGTTGATGCAGATTTACCAATGAAGATTTCCGCAGGGAATGATAAGGTATATAAATTCTGAATTCTAATATGTTTGGTAGTAACTAGCTAATCTGTGACTGTATATTTAGCATAGAAACTGTAAGTGGGTAGTGACTGAAACCAAAAGATCTGTTGGGGCCACTGTTGGGACACCACTTGTGGAACTACTCTTGGGAGGAATAGAGCTTGAGAGGGATGAGTGCTTTATTGGGCTGCCTCTCTGATAACAAGAAAATATAAGAGTATGGACTCTTAAGGAAAGGTGTGGCTTTGGAGATTTCTTGAGGATGGTATGTCTAATGTTTCTTATGTTTACTAGTCTAAATATACTTGTTCACAAATCAAGGTATCCCAAATGTTGATGGGCAAATACCTGGCTAATAATGGGTGATCAGTTATCTGAATTGCTGGGGCAGGATCTGATGAGGAACAAATGAAGAGGAAAAACAAAGCTCCTTATATACAAAATTCTGGGGAGTGGCCAGCTTGTGGTTGGAAGATAAATGGAACATTCTATGAAGAGTATGAAACAAGGGAAAATATTTATCCAGAGAAAATAGGAGAAACAAGCAGTGGGAAAATGCTCCCAAGGTTACTAGTATGAAACAACTAAGGGGTGGAATATTCCATGGAAGGAGATAGGAGGAAATAACTGTTTCATGGATCAGGGGGATTGTTACTAGTGTGAGACACCAGGGGGAGGAAGAATAGAATTGTTTGGAGGGGAGTGAGTTTCAAGGGTGTGGAGTTTCTGGCTGGGAAATATTATTATCCATGTGGATTGTGCTTGGGTGAATTCATTATTGGTTTGAGGGTCTGGGGAGCTTTCTGGTGTGTCTTGATCCTGTGATTCCTCTGTGATTTGTACTCTTGCTGTGATTGGATTTTCAGGATTGGCTTACCACACCGTTTATTAAAATCAGCAAATGACATACCTTTTGTCATCACTGGCCATTTCTTCTTCATCCTCGTCGACAAACGTGATGCTATGAGCACGGTCCTTTATCATCATGTTTGCCCGTTTGGCCTCGCGAATCCATATGGGGCAATCGGGATCACCGGTTGGCTTTCTTGAGGATACCATCGCACGGAACTTCGTCTTCAAGGGGTCTGCGTCGCGGGGGGAGTGGCCGGCCTCCAAGGCGTATTGGTTGTAGAGGTCATGGACTCGCTCCCAATCGTTGCTCCCGAGTGGTCGAACATGCTTGACAAAGTTGACCAGCACTAGACAATTGTTCCCGCTGTAGTCTTGCAAGCCCTGTTGACAACCGGTTTGGCGGTTGACAGTAGAGTTTGGGACCTGAGTAGCAGGTTCATTGGACCTCTGGGTGGGTTATTGGGTTACTTGAGTAGTCGATTGAGTAGTACGAAGGGTATTCATAGACATTTTAGTAATAAAAATATAAATCAAAGTGGATAATATAATGGAATGAAGGATATGTGGAAGAATCCAAAACGAGAAGTTATCCAACGGCGCAGTGGGATGACGACGCAGGAACTTCCAAGGTGGAGGGTTGAGCTGGTTATATATCAGACAATCAGTCTGTATTAGCATGTTGGTTTTCGGAGATGGATCGAAGTGGATGAATGATAAATGCTGATCTTGATCGGTAGGTGATGGATGGATGATCGGTCAGTGTTCGATAGGATGATTGATCGGTTTGTGTATGAGATGATCCTCTCCGAACCAGCAGAGAGGTGATGAGAATCTAGAAACCTGATGGCAACCCTCGGTTAAATCAAGAGGCGTGATATTTAGAGTTTTTGGGCCTAAATCGATGTCTGCGGGGCCCGCAGAACCGACGGGAAGTCCTCCACTGCTCTCTCAAAGCCAATGTACAACACCATTGTGCCATCTCCTTTGACACATATCACATCTGTAAATCCCTCAACTCTAGCTTATCAAAGTCTCTTGAACAGGCGCCCCCTCAGGACGTGGAGGCAGTCACTTTGCACCCTGGGAGGTAATTGTGAAAGTTGTGAAAACTTAGCCTAAACTAAAAAATCAACATCCTTTGACAGTACCTACCTTACTGTGGTAGGGGAATTGGTCAAGTTTGGTCCACATCTTAACTTTCATCATGTTTTTGAAGTTACATCTCCCAGATAAATTGGAATTATAATTATTTTGTTGATCAACCACTGAATGAATCCCTTTCAGCATTTACAACCCTCACAGAATTTGATTTACCCCTTTTTTTCAGAACCCTTGTGCTCATGTGAGCTGGTTTTGTATTTGATTAGTGTCTTAATTTGGAGCTGAGAGGTGTTTAAAAAACACTCTCAATCATGAGGGTAACCAATGGCAAAACAGATACAATATGGTACTGTACCTGCATACTTTACCTGCAGATACTTTTGTGTTGTATCTGTCAAAAAATACATTGTTTCAAAAGAAGGTTGTATTTTTTCATTGATACAATACAATAATCTTGTATTTTATCATTGATACAATACAATAATCTTGTATTTTATCATTGATACAATACAATAATCTTGTATTGTATCTGTATTTTGATACAATGTTTCTTCTTATTTATTGTATCATTATACTGATACAATACAAATACAAGCCCAGGGGTATCTGGTGAAATTAAGGAAAAAATTCCTCAAATTGATTTTTATGTTGTGCAAAAAATTTGAAGAAAAAATAAAAGGTCTGAAAAATCACCATGAAATAGTGAGGAAAGAGACTGAGGATGGATGGGATGAAGGAAATTTGATTAGAAATCAGGCTAAGTTGTCCGTTTTTTTCTTGTAATTTTCTTCTGCAGTTTTAAGGTTAAAAAACCCTCAGCCATACTTTAATCCACAGTTACTGTGCACCTTCCACAGTTACTGTACACCTTCCACAGTTACTGTGCACCTTCCACAGTTACTATGCAGAAATTTTTAAACTGGATTAGATTACAGTATGCCAGAAGTTACATTGGGAGTAGCCTGCATGTCAACTGCCACCAGACTTGGCACCAGTTGGATGAGATTTTTTCATAGTGCAAGGGTCTGGATTTTGCCTAAAACCAATGCATTTTCCAAAGCCATTTACACCTCATTTGGGTGGAGGGGGAGCTTTTGTAAAGTGGGGGACACTCACTCTGGGAGACCACTCACCACATACTATAGCTAAATGACTGCATAGCAAATTTGAGCTGACCATGCAGGCCAAATGTTTGTTTAACATGGTGGTCCAAAACTTCCAAAAGTCTCTGGAGGTTTTAGATTCTGGAACTTGGAATTGGACCAGTCAATCTTCTTAAGTACTCAGTAGTTGAGAGGGTTACAGTGCGATTGATTTGAGATAGATCCAAAATACAGCATCTTGAGGAAGATCCAGCCACTTGAGAGAGATCCAGAAAATTGAGAGAGATCCAGCAACTTGAGAGAAATCCAGCAACAAAAAAAAGAGACCCAGCATGATTGAAAGATATCCAGGGCCACTGAGTTGACAAAGATTCAGTGCCACCAAGTTGAGTCTGAGAGAGATCCAGCGAAAACAGTAGAGGAGAGAAAGTTAGTGAGATCCAGCAAGACTCTGAGTGAATGAAATAAATATATTTGGAGACAGTGGAATACAGTAGATGGCTACCTGAGTGGACTGCCGGTTGAGTTGTGAAATTTTGATGGAGTATGACACAAACCAGGATACACCACAATCTGTATGAATATTTAGCTTTAGATGTATGATGTTTAAGCTAAGACCTGAGGTTTGGGATAATGCCCCAGGTTGACCCAAAGCCCCAGGTCATGAGTTTGGCACTTAATTTCAGGCTTCAACAGTTTTTTCTGCTCTGTTCTCCTTCTTTGATCATCCTCAAATCCCACGTGACTGGTTTTCTCACTCTGAAATGAGGTCTTCATTATGCATTTTCTCCTTTTTTTTATATGGACCACTGCTCCTGGCCCCACACAAGCACTAGACAAGCATGAAGTCCCCAAAAGCCCACTTGAAATCCCAGGAATCCCATCTCCAAACAAAAAATGATTCCCCGGGGTTTGGGATCTCCACAAGACCCATCCCAATGCCCTGAGCCCCAGGGGTCACACCTTGGGGTGAAAATCTGGGGCCTCTATTCAGGTCACAGCCTTAGTTTAAGCTTACACAGAGTAAAATAAAACTGTATTGTATTGGCCACTTGATACACAAGGCAGCTGATACCATGTATTTCCCTGTGGCCTTGATACAATACAGATACAGATCATTGGCAAGTATCACGATACAATAGAGGACTTCCTGTCAAACAGATGGCTTAATTTAGACGGACCAGCTAAACTTTTTTTGCTGGTGAAATCTTGAGGTTGAACAATTTTCACCAACCAATAAGGTTTAGAGTCTTAGTTAAACAACTCCCAGAAATTGGAGTTCTGAATCCCGAATTTCTAGGATGTCAAGAGGACCATCTGCAGATTGTCCTCAGGAGGCCCAACCCCCAAATTGGGAGTCGGAACTAGGGATTCCTCTCGACCACTGGGAGTGTACAGCTCTCTGAAACCAAGAGGAATTCCTCTTGGTCACAGAGAGTTGTACACTCTTAGAGACCACGGGGGATTCCTCTCAGTCACAGAGAGTCATACACTCTCAGCAACCAAGAGGGATTCCTCTGGTTCTCAGAGAGCTGTACACTCTCAGCAGCCAAGAGGAATCCCTCTTGGGCGTTGAGGGCATCTTTCCGGCGCCAACTCCCAACCCCCATGGGGTTTCTGAAGGATTGACTCCCAAAAACCCCCTTGGGGTTTTTATTTTTATTTTTTTTATTAGGGGAAAGACTCCCAAACCTTTTGAAGGTCTTGGAGGTCCGACTCCCAAGGACATCCTGAGGAGTGTCCACAGACGGTCCTCTCAAAGTCCCAGAAATTTGGGAGTCAGAACTCCAATTTCTGGGAGTTGTTTAACTAAGACCCTAAGGTTTATTGTAATTTACAAATTTAGATGACAGGAAGTCCTCCAATACAGACTGAATACAGATACATGTCACATATTGGTTTCACCATTGTGGGAAGGCCTCCACTCTTGTGTCATAAGTTGGCTTTCCTTGCTCTTCTCCAACATGTACTCACCAGCACCATCCCCCATTGCTCCAAGAGACCTCTTCATCCCATCTAGATTTTCCCAGTGAAGCTCACAGAGGACTTGGTAGTGAGGTGGATTGTGACACTTGATCATGAACCCCAAACATCCACTGCAATGTAGAGTCTAGAGAAGGATTTTCATGTTGTATCGTAAGCTGCTCATGGAGCCTGAGAGGTCAAACCTTAGTTGTTTTGTGACAATTACACATGATAAATCTTGTCATCTCAAGGCCGCCAGTAGCCGCCAGTGGGGCCTTCAGCTGGAGAGGAGGATTAAAGTCACCAGAGGCAAAACTGTGAAGTCTTCAGTCGACTCGGTGAAACAGCCGAGTTCAGTCTGCGACGCGACGTCGGATTGCGGACCTGTCACCTGGCCGTATAACTCCATAGGTGTCCTTCTATGTAGTGAGTATGGGTTTAGAGCGAGACGGTAGTCGTGCTGGAGATCGAGACGACCAAGGAGAACCAAAACATTGAAAGAAGACGAGCAAGATTCAGAAGACCACGAAAGGAAAACGTTAATTTGAAGCCGAGCTTGGAACGATGTCCTGGTTATCCGTTATCGGTGGTGCTGCCACCTCGTTACTTTCCAAGGGAGGAGGGATACCCAACCTACCTGGGTTCGGACTAGGAAACAAGGAGAGCAACTTCGAAGGACAAACCATCTGGACGCAGTACGACGGGATCAAGAGGGACGATAACTCGAGCGTATCCATCTTCGTCCTCGATATCGCCAACGCCAACCAACTCAACTCCAACCCTTTCATCGGCTCCAAGGATAGAAAATTGCTGTTGGGATTCGCTAAGAACTCGCTCAAGAAATTGAGATCTCTTAGGCACCCGGATATCCTGAAATTCATCGATGGCACCGAGACGGACTCTGCCGTTTATATCATCACCGAGAAGGTTTCTAGCCTTTCGGTCAAATTGGACCAACTCAAGATGTCCAACCAGACGACAGTCGAATGGAAAATCTGGGGCCTCAGTCGAATCGTGGCAAGTTTCCAAATATTCATCTTCAATCAGCCTCATTTCAAGCTGTGAACATCACGAGAAAGGAAGCATTCAGGATGGCTAATTGGACTCTTTGTCATTCTCTGATAGTCAGCCTTGAAATTTTTGAATGGTCCTGGTGCATCCACCCATGGAAACCTCAGACTCACCTCGGTCTTTATCACTCAATCTGGGGAATGGAAGCTATCTGGTTTTGAGGTCTTGAGTAGTCCGAAAGACCCTCAACCCATCCTCTACGTTGGTCACCTCCACCTACCTTCCAACTTCAATAAAATGGCGATTACTTATTCAAAGCGACCCGCAATTTTCTGATAATTCCTACAGACTCTTGGCGGATTGTTTCCAGAATCTGCCCGGTATGCCAGTCCTGAGTTAATGAAAACAGGCTACGAAGTGTTGAAAGAGTAAGTGCGGTTTGATTTTGTTCTTTACGATCGAGGCGCAAAAATGACTGCATTCGAACTGATATCTCCAGGTTGACGATTTTCTAGTCTAGATCCGTCATGTTTGGACTCATACCAGTTATATCTATTAATCCAGACGCTATTCAACAATCTCCCGCCGAGTGCCGATGTAAGTTCCCAACAACGCGGGAGCATCCCACCGGCGCTATTCTCGGCAGCCCGTCGCTTGGCATCAGTAAACCCCAAGAGCAGGTTGAAGGCCGAAGCGTTTTGGGAAGTAGGATTTGGGAGCGGCGAGGGTGGGGGCGGGGTCGCCGGTGCGTTCTTCAGGGAGAATCGGCTGATCAAGGTGTGCAACGGCCTTGAAGGCTTCTCGCTGGCCAGTCAGGGCGAACGGGCCTCGCTGGTCAAATCTATCAAAGACTCCGCCGAATCTCTACCACCCGAATTCTTAAAGTTTAGAGTTTTGCCTTCTCTTGTACAATCTTTCGATCATGGTGCAGGTTAGTCCATTCTCGCGGACTGCATCTCTATTAAATGGCATGGATTGACGGTACTTGTGTGGGTTTTGACATGTTCCAATTTGAATGACAGATGGTCCGACACTCCTACCGCTTGCGATTTCCATCTCCTCTTCACTATCGCCAGCCGAATTCTCGACGATTGTTCTCCAGTCCCTGATCAAGATCTTTGCCAGTCCTGACCGGGCAATCAGATTATCACTACTCGAGCTGTTGCCCCATTATGTAGATCATCTGGACAGATCAGTCGTCGTTGAAAAAATTTGGCCTAGCTTGCTCACTGGGTTCACTGATACTGTCCCGATCATCAGGGAAGCAACCGTAAAAAGCGTCTTATTACTGGCCCCAAAAGTATGTGTTTTTTCTCTTTTGCTCAAGTACTCGCCAATATTGTTCCACCCGAAACATGAAATGTTTATCAGATTTGTCCTTGGTCTTTATGGATAGCTTTCTGAACGGATCTTGAACAACGATTTACTGCGTCATTTAGCAAAGACGCAAATGGATGTAGAGCCAGGCATTCGAACCAACACGTGTATCCTTCTAGGCCGTCTATCGAAATCACTAACGCTGTCGACCTGTCGCAAGGTGCTTGTGCCAGCGTTTACTCGAAGCGTCCGCGACCCGTTTACCCCCGCACGGATAGCGGGACTGATGGCACTGATGGCCACAGTCGAGTACTACGAGCCAGAAGATCTGGTTGGAAAAGTGATCCCCGGAATGGCGGTCTGTTTGATCGATAAGGAGAAGACGGTCAGGGACCAAGCGTTCAAGGCTTTAGACATGTTCCTCGAGCGCGTCAGGAAGGCCGCCTCCGAAATGGTTCGTCTCTGCTTACCATTCTCCCCATCCCACCCAGAAAACTTTGGGCCGTGGATATTGACTGTCGGTTTGGTTTTTTATGTAGCCTGAAAGCGATACTGCTCCAGCCTCTTTAGGTGATACAGTCAACAGCGCCATCTCCTCATCGCAGCCTGGGATGGCCATGAACGCTACTGGCGCAGCGGGTGCCTTGGCCAGCTGGGCCTTCAGCTCAGTGAGTCGCAAGCTGACGTCGAATGAGCTTGCCTCCCCGGAACCCAAGATACTGGGCGCGTCGCCCAGCGGTAATTCCGCAACATCAAACTCGACCTCGTCTCACGCACAGCTGCCGGTCCCCCCGACAAACCTGGCAAGGGCAGACTCGTTCGGCTTGGTGAGCGCGTTTACGGTTGGGAGCGAGCAGGCTCCAAAAGAGAGTGGGGTGTCGCAGGACTGGGGAGGCGATCTAATGAACGTGGAAGCCGATGCAGACGACTGGTCGACCTTCGAGACCGGGCCTGCGGTCCACGAACCCAGCTTCACACCGCTACCATCGAAGATCAAGCTTGGCGTTCAGGCCACGAACAAGGCTCAAAAAGGGGCCCCATCCGGGAGCACGGGAAGCCGGATGAAGCTGGGACAAGCAACACGAGGTGGCCTGTCGGGGTTAAAGGGCAAGCCGCCCAGCACGTCGGCCTCACTAGTTGCCGCATTGGAGGCCGACAACGAACTCGACAGCGCCGGCTGGGGCGTGACTGGAGAGGAGGACGGAGAGCCTAAGCAGGAGGAGTCGTGGAACAACACCCCGTTCGAAGAAGATTGTCCGTCGTCTGCGCCTCCCAAGAACACCCCCGACCTCTCTTCCGCTTCCTCTAAAGAGTCCAAAGCTGCCCATATGGCTAGGATGAAGGAAGAACGAAGAGCTAAAATGGCCGCGCTCAAGGCTAAAAAGGCCTCCGCATCAACAACCACAGGCTGAGACTTTTTCTCAACTATCATCATAGCTCCATTGGTTGTTTTTTTCGCTTTTTTCTTTTTCTTTTGTGTTTCCAGGTTAACCTGGAACTTTTTTTTTTAACTTTTGCACTGGTTTTTCATGTCAAATATTTCAGGGTGGTTCCATCAACCCTCTTGCCTTTTTCTAATCTGGATAAACGCATGTCCATGTTCAATTTGGCTGTGTCAGCTCCATCAACCCTCTTGCCTTTTTCTAATCTGAATAAACGGATGGCCATGTTCGATTTGGCTGTGTCAGCGGGTCTGTACACTGCTGAGGATTTCCGGCCGAACAAGCCGCTTGAGGGCCGGATGAGGGGCCCTGCAATTCCACGTTTCTGTGCTCTCAATGTGACAATGGGGTTGCACTCAAGCTGCAAACAGAGTAGAGTACATTTTGGAGCCCTTGTGATTTATAATCTGTACTTGGCAGGAAAATACCCTCATCAATCAATTTCTAACTTACAGCGCTTTCTTCAAGGTGGCAGCAGTCTGTACAAGCCACAGGCCCAATCTACATCCGTAGGTCAACACCGTAAGATGTCTATCTATGAGCACGCCAAAACATTGCCTGGAACCGCCCGGCAAAGATCAGACAACCTCGCTTTCGTCACTGAAACAACGAAACGCAGTCTCGTTTCTTGAGACCAGTGCCAGAAACCCTAGTGATAGGGCTTCAATGTTGATACCGGCGGTCCGGCAGTGATTCGAAAATCCCTTAGCACTGCGGCTTCAGCCTGTTTCAACAGTGCACGGCACCAACCTCCAATATATTCATGTATTATGATCACATCGACCATGCCAATGATGACGTGGACCCGGCCGACGTGATTATCACTCACTTCCAGCAGTCATGTCCGACTATTCATCAGAATCAGCTTTTCTTTGAGGTTTATTCACACCGAGTCGTATATTGATAGTTGAAACATGCGTAGAACTTGCCGACTAAATCGATGTTTATTCCCGGCCGAATCGCAGCACATCGCAGCAAAGCAAGGATCCTGCAACTTTTCAACAAACTGAGGACTGCCGGTAGAGGACTTAATTTGCGTATATTTCATCTGGTGTGTATTTGTTTTGGATGATGTACCAGCAGCTCAAGTCCTGACTTGAATTTTCGGTGGTCCCCGCAAAACATTTGTTCCAGTTGGTGGGCCACCTACCTGAATAGCCTTTGTGCGGGTTCGACTGCTCTTAAAGGGGCTGACTGGAGTTGTGCAGCTGTCCATATATCATCCGTGTTCCCTGTCCAGAATTTCTTTGGCAACTCTACGAAAAGTGGAGTATCAAACCCGCCCTTTATCTTGCGTCGCACAAGTTGAACAACTTAGCATCGCTCCTACCGTCCTCTGATTCGGGTCTTCCCTCCCACATGATGATGAAATTGATAGTACTTGCTGTGTCTTACTTGCAAACAATTCAATGCATGAACGGTGGTCGTGGTGGAATAACCCACGAGCTCTTGGCCGCATCCAAGGGAAAGAGTATGTCCAGTTTCCCAAATTTGCTTCTAAAGGAACTTGCTGCTCTAATGAGCCCTCTTTCACCAAAAAAACAGATGCTGCACAAATTGCCGAAGCTCCTTCCTTCACGGAGGGAGACGTCAACCTATACTTCACAACTGTCAGAGCATTCACACGGCCAGCCCCGGGATCATACAAAGACAGTAAGCTGTCAGTTTAAATCCAGGTTACATCCTTCTGAAGTAAATAATTTTCCTTCTTCTTGACAGAGTTAGACCTGACAATTGCAAAACCCAAGGATGATCAAGAAGGCTCTTCAGAAAAATTTGTGCTTGACACTTACTGGCCAGCTGTTCAAGCAAAACTTCTTTGGGAAGACTTCAATGTGATTGCCACAGATCTGTTGAATATGAAAAAGACCCTTGAAATTGAGATGTCAAAAAGAGCATGGTTTCAGCAAAAATCAATCTCAAGAATAAATTTAAATAAAGCCTTGCTTAAGTATGCCACTGAGTTGGAATATATTCTTAGTAGATTGGAAGAGCACATAGAAAACTCATTTCATCTTTGGGCAAAGAATAATAAATTTCCAGACCCAAAGATCTTTGCAAAAGAACGTTTTTTTACAAGGTATGTCCACTTCTGAAATTGTATAACAAATTACTCAACCTGTATGCTAAAATTGATTAAAAAATTACCTTGAATAAGTTCTTCATCATTTCCTTCCTTGAATAGCCTCAGATTGAAAATGCATCCAGACTTAGTGATTAAAAATTTCCCCAGAGACAAGCTTCAGACTCTTTCTGTAGATTTGCGTTATGCATATTCTGATTTTAAAAACCACAAAAATCAACATGTCATGACTCTTAGAAGAATTCATCTTCTCACATTGGACCAAGTCTACAAGTATGATTTAATAGATGATAAGATGTTTAAAGATTTACATAAAGGATGGTGTTCTTCAAATATTTCTCCCATTCATATCAACATGTTCCATCATTTTTATCATTTTGAAAAAGAACCTGAAAACAGTATTTTCAAAATCAGCAATATCATATTGAAAGGCTGGCACTTGTCTCCTTTTTTGAATCAATCAAAAGGTATGTTACAAATCAGATCCACTCTTGATTGTCTCCCTTGATGAAAATGGCTTTGGGGTTGACATCATCCAACATTTTTTTCTTGGTTTCACAAGTTCTTGAAAAAGATTTCAATATGGGACTTTCATATCGTATTGTTCTGGAGTATGCAAGAAATTACAAGGCAAATACATTGGATTCATTTGAAGATTTGGTGGAAAAGACAGTCAAATCCTTGTTAAAAGATGATACACTGATCAAAACTTTAGAATACACTGAGAAGAATAGATATGGTGTAGATTACAGAAAACATGAGACTGCTAAGGATGGTGTGATTATGCTCATTGATATCCTAAAAAGCCCAGATGTTTGGTCAAAAGAATGGCAAACAAACGAAGCATTGCGGATTGTGGGTGAAATTATACAATTTGTTGATGAACATGGCCTGGAAACAGAAGGAATGTCACCAATAAAAGATAGATTTGATGCTACAGTAAGGAATAAATTGGAATTAATTGCCTGTAGAAATCAGGATCTTTTAGAATTGGAAAATATTTACAGATATTTGAAAAATGAGTTTCCTCTAAGCAATAAAGTTGGAATTTCAAGAATACCACCACTTGAAGAACTGAAACTAATTGAAAACTGGTTGAGAAAATATCACAAGGCTGATTTTGAAAGAATGGATGTGAATATGGAAGTCAGTAAGAAAGAAATTGAAGTCCGTGTTCAGTTTTTGGAAGATGAAATGAACAAGCTCAGGAAAAAGTATTCTGAATCAGGAACTTCATTAGTGTTTGAATCTGTTCCACGAATAACCTTGCAGAGCAAGAAGGGAAAAAACCCTTTTTCAGTTTGAGACAACTGTAAAATGCACAATAAGCAACAAACATTCCATTCTGGTTTACATATTCCCTGGAAATTACAAGATTCTTAGACCATCCAAGTTGTTTGGGTGAATTATATATGGGGGTTCCATTAATTTTTCTTTTTAAGGATCTACCAATGGAAGAAAACAAGTTCAGATTGAGTCAAAGTCATTAGTCAATCCTAAATTTTGATAAACTGGGATTTTGATTTAAATATTTTGAAAATACTGGGCACCTTAAGCTTCCCACATTTCAAAAAAAAAACCATAGATCTACCTCAATATTACTTTGATCACTCAGTTTATATTTTTTGTCAAATATTTTTGGCCGGTTTTTTGTTTTTGGGCTCTTCATTTTTATTGTCAAATACTTGGAACACCTTGGTCTTGATCTTTCACAATCGGAGATATAAAGTTCCTAAATGTGCTCAGTGCATTCCAATTCATTCCAATTTATCTGCTTTGACCTTCCAAAAAGCAAAATTTTCTGCAGGCCAATTATTTAGTGCATTAGGCCTGTGGCTTTAATGAGTTTGGTTGGACAATGGATAGGTATGCACAGTCTTCTGTTGAGTGAAATTTGGTAGGCATAAAATACTTTCATGTTTAACTAAAAGACTGAAAGCTTTTCCATGGTGATGATATTGGATGTTGGAAGTTGAACCCCATGGATTCCCTCTTTGGTGAAAATAAGAGAAAACCCTCAAGCTCATTTGATAAATGTTTTGCCAACAATGGCCAGTTATGCTAACTGTGGCATTAGAATGTCATAACATAGAAAAATTCTGCTAAAATTTAGGGCAGCAGAGCATAATTCTGCTGTTTCTGTGCTAACACTATGTGCACAGGTCCCCAAAGTTTTCCTGCTATGCTGTGGTAACATGTGCAGGTCCCCAGCAATGCTGTGCTAACACACTGGTAAGCAGCATTTTTGGACTGTAGTGGTCTTTAGCTGCTTTTAGCACAGTCTAGCATAGTGTAGTCAAAAATTGATAACACTACGTGTTTTCTGCACCAAAAAAAAGCCGCTATGCTAACAACTTTTGGGCAAAAAGTGCAGCATAGCATATAACCCACTGTTGGTTTTGCTTTGAAAATACAGATTCACTAGAAATGACAAGCATTGGAAATCAGTCAATCAATCAGGAAGATTTTTCCTTGATTAATTAAATCATTGTGCGACCAAACTTCAGCCAACAAGAAGGTTGATGAATAATCAGTTACTTTGAAGATCTGGGGCACAATAAGTTTGATAACCCAGATGCTGATGAAACAATGAGCTTCAATAAAAACTGATAAAATGTCTTCCACCACTCACATGCCACCTCACCAGCAAATCTCAAATCATATGTAGCTGGATTGAGATTCACACAGAAGTGAAAGAACAACAAGGGATGTGTGAATTGCCAGTCAAACTACCTCTCTAAGTTGCTCAATTTGAAATCAGGCAAGCTTAAGTAAGCTCTGGTGATGTAAAGCAACTGGGGATTACAGTTTTTTCATTCTAAAGTTCACTCTTGACAAACAATTTCTCAATCAACTCAAGATGATTTGGCGGCTTTGGCTTAGTTGCAAATGAGAGACCCCTATCTTTGGGCAGCAATCAAATACACAAAACCCAAAGCCCATCTGTACACCCAGCATGGCAGCAATGCTCCTCTGATGAAGCTAAGAGCTGTGTTTGAGGAATTATAGGTCATCAGCTTGGTCTTTTGTGTGAAATGAAAATAAAACCCCAAGTTTAATTTTAAAATTGGCCCTTTTGGTCAAGAAAACTTAGGGGCCGTTGGACG